TGGGCAGCACTGGCTGCCGGCACAGCACCGGAGCCACCTCGGAGCTACGGCTTTTCCTTTTCATCTGTGGTTTAGGGAAAACACCCCCTGTGCCTGTGTTTTCCTCTTTCATTAAAATAAATGCTGCTCCCCTCCTGCCAACAAGACCTTTTTTCCAGATCCCATTTATGGTGAAATCTCTTACAGCCTTTCAAATCCAAAACCCACGCAGCAATTTCTTCCACGTTCCTCTCTTGGCCAAAAGGTACGGTGAAACACCAAACCTGCATCCCCTCCCACCCCATCCCCAGAGATGTCTTCTCCCTCCTCAGACAGCTCTGTGCTCACAGCTCCTTGCACTCGCAGCACCTTGGGGTTACATCCCAAGGGGTATCCCAAGTTTCCCAGTGCCACCATGGAGCTGGAATATCCGCAAGGTCCTCGCGTGCCCCGGCGACAACACGGAATAACTCAATTTGCAGTGGTACAAGCCAACTTGTGCTCACTGCGAGTCACGGTGGGGCAAATGCGGGGGGGCAGCGAAGGGCTGAATCAATGCACCAGCACCCGCTGATCTCCTGCCTCCCCGTGGGGACAGCGGTGACCTGCCAGTGGCACCCCCGGGGTCAATGCCTCATTCCCACAGGAGCACAGGCTCCAAGCAAGCCGATTACCAGGCAGCCGAGCACTGCCTTGGCTAAATCACTTCGGGGGCTGATCCCGTCTCCTTCATCCCCTCAAAGAAGGGATTTTCCAGAGGAGCACCAGGCAGGGACACACAGAGCAGTTGTCCCCAAGGACCTGCCATGCTGGGGGATGGTTTTTCCCTTCAGCACAGCCATGGAGCCACCAGCTGCTGAGGGAGAGAGCAGCACCCTTCCAGGGCACCCCTTAATGCCAACAGCAAAGCACAACTAATATTACTCCATGCACATCCCAGCTCTCCGCTGTGTCCCCCGCTATGCCAGAGGAACCCCAGGCACAGGGCATCACTGTCCCCCGCACTGAGCACAAGTCACACAAACATCCTCGGCCATGGTGGCA